AGGGCACTTCGAAAAGCTTTTTTTTTTTGAAGATTTTAAGGAAAATTTAAAGTGAATTTTCAGAAGAATTTAGAAGGGACCTCCAATTTAATTCTTCATTTTCAAGACAATTCTGATGAGAATTCAAGCAAGCTTTAAACAAAATTGGAATTCTTTGAAAAACTTAAAAAATTTAAAATAAACGAAGGATGAATTTCATAATTTTTTTGGAGTGTTCTGCAGTGAATGTATGGACTAGATAAGAAATTTTTAAGGGATTTCCAGAGCGAATCTTAAATTTATTTTAGAAGATTTTTTTTGCTTGGTATGCTCAGCTGAAAATTTTGCTATAGGGTAAGTGCAAATTTTGGACCCTAGTGGCACTATATAAAAGTTCAAATTTGTTCATGTTTTTCAAAATTTATTTAGATATAGGGTAACGCACTAATAGTGGAGGTAAGTTAGTGTAATTTGTTCTTATAGTGGCATATCGAGCCTATTGCACTAACGCACCTAAAAGTAGAATAGGGGGGGCCAGTAGTTTATTTGATAATTTATTAAAAAATAAATAAACGATATGCATATATAGTTGAAGATGCTATTTCGAAAAACAGACTGAAGTGGTAATTTTTATATGATAGATGAGCAGGAGATGAAAGTATAGAATTGATAGTTCCGTTTAGATTACGGCAGTGTGAAAATTGCATATAGAGAGTAGATAGCGAGCTAGGACAACTTTTAAGGAAGGTACAAATCGGTTTTATCATCTCTCTTTACCAAACTCCCCCTTTGGAGAGGGATGGTGAGGGGTGTCGCCCCCGCCACCACTGGCAAAAAGAGATGATCGGACCCTCACCATCCATCTCCTCTCAATAATAGGTTTGTTCCGATGCGTTAGTTCATTAGCTACAACATAAATCATATTAGAGCGCATTGTATGAATATTTACGTTCATTGTTCTCCAAACAAAAGAAGCGCTCCTAGCGAATCCCCTTTTTCTACGTTTATCCGTACGACGAAGAAAATCTAATGGCGTTTCAATGCGTTTGAACGGAATTGAAACTCGTAGGACGAATTTAGAATCAAGAAACGGTATTAGATTTTAAACAATATCTCAATAATTTGTGACTCTTTATCGAATCTAACGATACGTATGGAAAGGTGAAGCATTTAGAAGTCATCTTAGACAGAAATATTCCACTTTTTGTTTGCACTCGTTCAGATAAGAGACATAAAGCGCGGGTTGTGCTTAGTAGGACGGAAATTAGATCAAAAACCCTACGTCAATCTATGGCCTTCATTCTCTATTTATTAGAAAAATATTACAATGCGATTAAATTGTATACGTTTTTCGAAATCTCTTGTGGTAGTTGTTAATTTTGGTTCCTTTATTATGAGTGGAACGCATTGGTTTCTTGTGGATTCCACTATTATAGGAACACTACCGCAACTATAGGTGCAAAGGATTAAAAATCTTAAGGAAAATTAATTGTTTCCCGTCATTTTTGGGCTAATCTAAAGTCAAGTATACAAATCACCTTTGTTTTAGAAGAGTTATCTATGGAAATAAAGTTATTTGGGTTTCCACCATTGTTCTGACATAAACCCCATACTGCAGCTATAGGTACACCACTATTACTGGAACACCTACCTTATAGGGGAAATGGCTCTAATGTTGGCCTATGGATCTAAGATTGGGCCCATCGCAAAAAATCTGCTATTTATCAATTTAATCTAGATGAACGCGTCATTGGGACGGTACTAATGAATATTTTTGGTCGCTATTGAAAATTTAGTCGATTGCTGAATTTATGTATGGGCCCAAATTAGGGGCATTTAGGCCGACATTACATCCATTTCCCCTATCTACGCAAATAACTCCATGACAATTTATTTCAAATTTAATGTAGGCCCTAGGGCAAAAAGTTTTGAGCATTAGTAGTGCCATAACTGACACACGTACTCTACGCGAAATTTTCCCAATTGAGCAGCTCCAGGCCAAATAGCAAAAAAATTGAAATTTCGACTGGACCTTCTCCGATTTCCATTATAAATTTTTATTATGGGCAATTATTATCATTTCTGCAAAAATTCGACCATTTTTAATCAAATTTTGTTTTTCAAAATGGCGTATTAGACATTTTTCAAAAAATCCTAAAACAAAACCGTCACTTCTTATCGAAAAGGCGTCTAAGACAGAGTTGTAGGAAAAATATAGTAGGGGAAATGGATCGGTCTAAATGTCCCTAATTTGGGCCCATACATAAATTCAGCAATGGACTAAATTTTCAAAAGCGACCAAACATATCCATTAGTAACCTCCCAATGACGCGTTCATCTAGATAAAATTGATAAATTGAAGATTTTTAGCGATGGGCCCAATCTTAGATCTATAGGCCAACATTAGAGCCATTTCCCCTATTTTTATAAAATATGTACACGGAAATTTTTGTTTGGTAATTTTGAGAAAAAAATCAATAAACATTATGAAAAATAACAAGAAATGTCATTGTTCAATATTTTTGATTTTTTTTTTCAAACCTTATGATAGCATAATTTTGAAATATTTAAAAACTGGGACACTCAAAAATTGAAGACGACTTTGATTTTGGTAAAATGTATTGACTTTTTTTGTGCAATATTTTTGTAATTTTTTCGCAGCAAAGAGGAAGGTTACAAATATTATTTTCTGTGCAAAAAACTTCTTTACGATCAAATTTTCAAAGATTTGAATAAAAGCTGTTGTTCTACGATTTTTGTAAATTTGTATGTGTTCAAGGTTATCAATTGTTCAAAAATTTGCATTTTGCGTAATTAATAAATCAAAAATATTGAACAAAAACATAATTTGGCATTGATTTTTTTTTATATTTAAAAAAATTGCCAAGTTGCTAGATAGACTTCATTTTTCTCTATATCTTTGTTTCAGACGTCATTCATTTCGATTAGAAGTGACATTTTCATGTTACGATTTATTGAAAATGTCGAACACGCCATTTTGAAGAAAAAATTGCGCAATTCAAAATGGTCGAATTTTAGCAGAAATGTGAATGAAACAATTATGCCAAATTTCATGCAAATCGGAGAAGGTCGAGTCTGATCGATTCATCATTTGGCGTGGAACTGCTCTTTTCTTAAAATATGCTCCACAATACAATAGATTATTAAGGTCGGTTATGGTTTATAAAGTGGCTTCTGAAAACGAAATTTAGTACTGCGAGAATCAAACGCGGAATTCCGCAATCGCTGATAGGCATTTCACAAACCTCCGGAAGAAACGCGCCAATGTGAATCACTGTTTGGATATGTCACAATAGTTGACTAAATTTACATAGGCTGGTTGGCGTTCCTCGATGTAAACCTGATCCGCCATCACATTTCCCACTTTGGCGGCCAGTACGTATAGTAGGCGTAATCTGAGAAGCATTATTTTTACGGGTGCCACTTGAGCAGTTTCGAAACCGAAAATGCACGTTCTTTTTTGTTGTTGTTTCGAATTGTCATGTGGCGCTGGCAAAAACAATCTATAAAAATAACAAAAGGCACCAAATACACCCTGTCTGTGTTTGTGCCTTGGTCAAGAGTTCAGATCTTTGCAACACAGCTTTCAGAGGCAGAACAGTCTGTCGTCAGGTCTTGAAATTCGCAATGTGCTACGTTTGGGATTTGGTTAGATTTCTGCAGAAGACGAGGAGTCGACAGACGTACGACGCGATTGACATCATCGAGCACACAATTTGGGTGGTTTAGTATTATTTTGTCTCACCCGCACCCGGGTGGTGATTTTGAATTTTCAAAGAATGCCCAGTCTGTCTATATGATTTGCGACACTTCATGATTCATTTCGTTGCGATTTACATTCATACAATGTGAATGAACCGTAATTTGTATAGGATTATCGACAAAACCATCCATTGGTAGGTTTTAAACCCGAATGAGGTGGTTCTAGGACGTAAATGCCGCTCACCTACTTGCAAAAAGTGCAAAGTTCGTCACCGCCTTTGTCAGATGGTGTCGCTTGCTTTCTTTGTTGTGACGGTTTGCTCTATTTTTAAGCAGCTTGTTGATAAAAACTGAAAAATAGAATCATAGCCGTAGTAGAAATTGGCTATTCGACTGACCGCGTGCGACTCTGCGTCTTTTGAGCTTTCTATTTTGTTGCTGTTATACTGGTATGATTCAACTTTTGTGTATCATTTACTTTTTACAATAAAAATTGTTTGATTTCCTGCACATAAAAAAAAACCTAGAAAATCCGAATGAAAAACCTGAATTAATTGTCAACTACTCTTCACAGTCGTAAACCATTTCATCAATCAGGTGTCAACGTTTAACCGGTTTGTACACAACTTACATCATTGTATCACTTGGAACAATAAGTCAAAAGCATCGCAATCAACATCACAACAGAACCCCCAAGAAGCGTTAATTAGATTTACACATAATAGCGATTTACTGCAAACGACGCGCGCGCGCGATGCCTTTTCTAACCTATCCGACGGGTCGTACCCATATCGTAACTGACCCTTCCTATTTGTCGGCTCCGTGTCAAGCTGGTTTCCCACAGCCTTCGTACTTGACGACAAACACAACGCCTCCTCCTAATTGAAATCGTCCATTTGTAACAGGGAATTAACGAGTGCTACAAATAGTCAGTGTTTTGAAGACAGAGGGAATTTTCACCAACTCCAAGAAGAAAGAACAATGAAAGCGAAACTCAAAACTCGATGAAGTAATATTACTATATTGCCATAGTGGTGGTTTACAACCGACGACGCCACCGAAACTGACGGACGGTCACGTGTCCATCGTTCGTTTTGAAAGCCAATGGATTAGTTGCGTACAGCGTTCCGTCATCGCAGCAGTTATGTCCAAAACAGTTGGCGGGGACGAAATGTCACCTGCTGTGTGAGAAAGAGAGTGCTTTGTTCGGAGTTTTCCTTAACGCGAGAAAAACTCCCATCAACATGTGCCTCAGCATTCGACGCTTCTGCATTGATTGTAAAGGTAAGCATTCAACCGGACTCAAGTAGGCCCAGGGTCTATTGTTTTGTTCGATTTACTAGTTTGCTGTCAAGAAAAATGGCGGAACCATCGTTGGAGTTCAAACTGGATGAAGATTTCCTGTTCATCCTAAATTTCGCCCGGAGCAGCATGTATCTGTTCCAGAATCGACCGGTCGAGCGAAGTTTGATTGAATCCTGGTTCGAGAAGCTCTGTCTTGAAATCTACCGCGGAATCGACAACAAGCGGTTGAGGAACCTTTACCTGGTCAAATTGGTCACCTGCATCCAGTCAGGAATCCTGTTGGATCCGTTCCTGTCGAAACCTCCGTCCGTATCGCTGGAAGCCCTACCGCAATCGATTGCACCGTCTAACCTGGATGAACCTCCCTGGTTGAAGGCATTCGAAACCGAAGCAGCTGCAGCAGCGATGGGCGAAGCCGGTATGGCGAAGGACTTTTCCAGTTATTTTTGTTCGAAACAACTGGACGACGGGAGAGGTCTCTGCGCATATCTGGCCGTTTCCGTGGCGGATGAAGGTGAAAAGCCTCGGTGGTTTGAGATGGGATCGGGCAAACCGTTGCTGCTGGCCGAGTTGGATGAGGAAATTGAGGAAGCATTCCAGCAGTTTATGGGCCACCAAGAGGAACGAGATTTGGAAGAGAGCGGTGGAACGGGTGAATACAGCGAGCGACTGTTAGAGGCCATGAGGAACGAACTGACCGGACAGGCAGCTGCTGGAGATGATGTGCAGCTGGACAATCTACTGCTGGAGTTTGAAGCGTGCATGGCCAACAAGTCGATGGGTCGGGAGCTGGAAGACTACAACCAGGGTCAGAAGAGGGCCTTCATGTTGGGATATTTGGAGAAGAAGTTGAGCCTGCAGCTGGAAGAGAAGGGCTATGTTCACTGAAGACTAAATTGATGTTCTGGTTATTTTGTTTCAGAATTAAACGGTTAATTGGTTGTCTAATATGTGTCTGTTTGGAGCAGGAATTATAAAAAACTATATTCTGTTTTTGCTCGATTTTGTTTTTATTTTGGATTTCACCCTCATGTAGGATAGGTACAGAATTTTTAATACCACCTGAATTTTATTTGATTTTTTTTTTAACAATTGGTTGCTAATTGAGATCACATGATCAAAAATAGAGGCGAAAAAAAAATCGCGTAAAAACAGAATTGAGTCATAAACAAACGTCCCTTAGATTTTTTCGAAAATTTTCTGACACACACGTCGCTTACCGATGATATGTGCTTAATTCTCAGTATCTTCTAACTTTCTCATAAAAAATAAATAAATAAAAACAACGAGAACTAAAAACCAAAAAAAGGACAAAAATAATAATACTTTAATAGCGATAAGCTCGATCGAGGATAATACGCCAATCTCGTATTATCATCGATTTTGCTAAGCACCATGGCGTATTATCCTCAATTTAAATCTCGGATTTCACTTTAATGCATCCGAGATTTTCAACAAGTACGCAGCCAATACAAAATCTGGCTCTCTCCACTATCAAACACACAAACGCAACAAGTGTCATTTGCATAAAAACAAAGAACAAGACTAAAAATTCTCGTGTTACTTGGAAGTCCTCTGCATGTTTTTCCAAGACTTTAGGTTGATCTGGTTTTATTCTGAAGATCTTGAATTCTCCAACCATTCAAATAATGTCTATAAGATATTCTTTCACATAACCAGGTTGATCAGATACTATTACAATGTCCGTAAGGATATCAAAGATATTAAGGAAGTTATCAGAAATTTTTTAAGACTTCAGGATGACCAGGTATTATTTTGAAGCTCTACAGCTGTTCATTAATTCAAATCATGTCTCTTTGATTTTTGTTTTTTTTTTTCAATATACTGGGTTGCTCAAAAATTATTCCAAAAACATTCAGGATATCAAAGATCTCAAGGAAGTCCTCAGAATATTTTCTCAAGACTTCAGAATGAACATGGAGGAGCAGGTATTATTCTGAAGATTTAAGAGTGACCAACAATTTAAGTCACGTTTCTCATATATATCTTCCCTGACACCAGGTTGTTAAGAAATTAGTTCAATGACCTTCAGGATATCAAAGATCTTAAGGAAATCCTCTGAATATTTCAAAATGTCAGGATGATCAGGCATTATTCGGAAGATCTAGAACTGCCCAACAATTCAAATCATGTCTTAGATATTGCTGCGCCTTTTGAGCTAAGAAAAAGCCCAGAACAGGAGGCAGAGAACAGGGACAATATGTTAATCATAAAACACCAAAGAACTTACGAGAACTTTCGCGAAGCTCAGAGATAATCCAAAAAGTTCACGTAATACCAGAGAGATTTAAAGATTTTTGGACTTCTTATAAGTTTCCTAAACTTCCGAGGGGGTCAATGAACTTCCTTAAAGTTTTTGACCCCTTCGAAATAACTCTTAACTTTTAAAAAGTTCTCTGAACGTCCTGGAAAATTCTGATCTTTACGGAAGTTCAAGAATGCAAGTTATCTCCAGGATCCTTTTCTTAACCAAGAGAATTGTGATCAAGAATCTGTGACGCGTTGGGAGAAGCATTGTATCTGAGAGTAGTTCGAAGACCGGCAAGTAGCCGAGATTGCTTCTGGATCAGTTCAGAAGTGAAAGACTAGGGAATTCTGTTTATTTAACCAACTGTCCCTTTAAATTAAATTCAACCATTTAGTCCATTCGACCTTTTGTCCCTTTAAATTCTCTTTTCTCAATTTCAACCTGTTGTCCATTTCGACCTTTTGTGCATTGGAGCAGTTCCAGATAAAACTGAATTTTTGAATCAACCTTCACCGATTTGCATGAAATTTTGCATAATTGTTTGTTATGGGCTGATTCCAAGGGATATTCAACTCTGCACACCTTAACTCGTGCCGAGTGATTGAGCTGTGCCAAGCGTTGTGCCGACGTGTCTATCAAGGTCAATCAAAGTGTGCCTATCAAGGTGTCAATTTTCCATGAGTTTGGCAATCTTGATAGTTATGACTTTTGTGATTGTGTTTACATTCTCAATTTCTCTGATGGATCACGTTAGCGGGTCGGGAGGTGGAGGAGGACCTGAAAGTTATCAAACCTTCAACTAGGTGATCAAGATAATTCAACGCAATTCTGTCTCCATGTCCCTTTGAACTGTTGATTCCTTGCAGGTGTACAGAAGCACAGAAGAAACCCGATCGATGATGAATAAAATTTCTGCCGATTAAATCCTACCCGACTAAAGGAAACCCAGAACTCAAACGGGCGAGAGTTCAATCCCGCCCTTGGAGCCAAATCGTAAAACCAGTTTTAAATCATTTGATCGACTCAGAAGCGCGAGCCCTCAAAGATATCTCCAAAGCCTATCGTTTCGCTGATTATGATGCCAAATTTATACACCACCAACTGTCAAAACCTACTAAGCTTCGAAAATAGGATTCTTGGCCATCGCAGACTTAGCGTTTTATCCGTCGCTTGTATGTCTGTATGGAACTCGAGATGACATCCCCCACCAGTGCTGAGACTTCTTTCAAAATTATGTGGTCATCCAAAAGGGTGGTATACACATTCATTTCGATTCAACTTTTTTCTCAGTGTGCCGCAGCTGTGCCGGCATCAGACTGACTTAGTTTGCTTGTGAATAATGGCATTCTTGGCAACCCGGTTGATGTGACAGTTCAAATGATTTGTTTTTAACGAGGAGGAACACCCACAACAAACAGTAGAATCAGAACCAGAGCGTAAAATTATTGACTGCCTAGGCTGAGTGTGAAAGCACTGCACTATTCAATCCATTGCTCTGTGCAGATCGTTTGTACCAAACGGTAAAGGACGAGGCAATGAAAGAGCGAACAAAAACATTCAGTCACTCACGAGCAGGCGACGCACACCGCTTGCCTTCGCTCACACAGCATGTAATTGAGTCATTTTTCCATAGAAAATGTACGCTCAGTCATTCAAAACAAATATTGGGTACCATCACGGCAGAATAAACGTGTTGACTGAGCTACTGACTGAGTGCTCGGCTGTCAGTGATTCGTTTACCTCTCAATCATTCAGACTCTCACGAGGCAGTGAATGATGAGGCAGATGGCAGTTCATATTCATATCAAAATGACTCAATGAACCTGACTGTTTTGCGCGGTGTCGGTGGTGTAGTGGTAAGCGTGACTGCTTTCTCACCCCAATGGGTCTGGGTTCAATCCCAGCCGAGGTCGGTGGGATTTTTCTGAGGCATAAAAATCTCTTGTCACGTCTTCCTTCGGAAGGGAAGTAAAGCAGTTGGTCCTGGCTCATGTGTGTTTAAATGGGTACGATATCCTACGCAGGTGTGGAAGCTGCCTTCCTGCACATTCGATTGCCGTCAATGGATGGCAATCGATGTCCGTCGGTGATTGGCACTAGATTGCGGAACAGAGAGACCGACGATAAATAAAGGAAAGAAGAAGAAGAAGAAGGTGATTCAGAGGCACCCAAACTGGACAAACTGGCACGACCGGAGGATCTCTTCGAAAAGGCGATCGAATTCATTCGACCGCTGCAGATGTTTGGCGAAGTCTTCGTCGACTGCTGATATTAAAATCACTGGAACTTTTCCAATACTGAATGTGGGGATTCATTGAGCTATAGATGCTCGATGCTCACCGTTCCAAATTTAAATCCGATCTTAACAGGATGCATGATATTCTTCTTTTCGTACGAATAACAGTAGTTGTGATCTATTTGCTTGATATTATTGAAATTGTTTATGTGGCCTTCCAAATGTATCATCAAAGGAAACCGTCTGGCATTTTTCAATCGTTACTAGAGCTAGACTACCGTATCGACAAGACGCCCTTGACTAGCCATGGTGTGGATAAACTCGATTGAAGTGAGACCCAAGTAGTAGCTGTTTTAGCTGAGATTTTTGCTGTGATTCAGAAAAGACAGATTTTGCTAGATCTGAAAAGATTCACGATTCAGATAATACTTACAGTATTTGTCGGACGATCCTCAAAACCGGCGGGTTGTTGATAGGCTGTTGCTTCCAGTGCTGCAAAATCTCGACAATTCACGGCGATATTCAAAATTCTGCTTTGGTCACTCATTTGAGCAAACAGTCATTGTTAAAGCAAACCATGTCAAACATGAGCACATTTTGTTCTTAGCTAAATTTGAATTTGAACAAGCATCTACGTACTGAACTTCTTGGATAATAATAATGTGACTCAGAATGCATGGGCTCGCAATATCACGCGTGATATTGGAACAAAATATCATGCTTGATATTGATTTTACAAGTTCCTTTGATATTGCGAGATTATTCACAACGTGTAAACTCCATGCTGAGAGTTGACTCGACACAAAAATGATTCCATTGCACATCGTTTTCTTAGAAAGAGAAAGCATAGTTTGCTTTCTCTTTTTAATCTTCACCGATTGCAGACGCAAAGGGACTGCTGCAAGCCGTTATGGAAGTTTCGGTTGCATTCGGGAGTAAAGCAAAAATCATTAAACTCAATCTCACCACCGTTTGGTGAGATTTGCAGTTGGTGAGTTTTGTTAGCTTGATATTCCGAGCTGCGATATCACAGCTTGCAAAATCAACCGCAGTTGTTTGCTTGTTGATTTTTGTCTACGAAAATCAAGCGTGATCTTGGGCGTTGGTGAGATTTGATTTTTTGATATTTTCCCAACACTTGATTCAAGTCTATCAGTGACTATGTGAAAAACAATTTTGTCAATATCGCGCGAAAGGCATGCATCAATGACAATGACAAATCTCAGCACTGGTTGTTTCACCAGTTTTATGTATGGCGAGTAGTAAACCTTCGCAACGATTTGCAAAACGTCAACACTCAACAGTGATGCCGTTGTTATTTTATATGATTTGTGTCCTACTTGTCAAAGTGTGCCATAACGTGCCGAACAGTGTGCCATGTTGTGTTTTGGTGTGCAGCGTTGATTACCCCTTGGCTGATTCGCATTTTTCCTTAAATTCGGCCATTTTGAATCTTTTAAAATATTCAACATGGCGCTTTTGAAAGTTACAAAAATGTAAATCGAAATGACGTCTGATACAAAGTTCTAGCGAAAAAATATGTTTTTATGGCAAAAATAAACAATTTTTTTTTTATTAAAAAAAATAATAAAGGCCAAAATATCGTAAAATGTCCTTGACCGATTTTTGAAAATTTGTTTTTCAATAAAATGGTTGAAAACTTAAATCTTTTAGAATGTTCAAAACCACGAACACTTGAAAATCGTGGAACAAGAACTTTTGGTAAAAATTATGTACTCTTTGTTAATATGATTTTTTTCTTTATTTTGTTCCCAGAACATGATCTCAAACAAGGTTTTTTTTTGAGAATAAATTACATGAAAACATTTTTTAACAAGGAAACCTATTTAACACTACACTGAACATTAGTTTGAATTGATGTGCCTTATGCCCATGGTCCTCTGAACTGGATTCTTGAAGATCCGGCTTAAAGCTGGGCTTAGACTAGGCAAGTCAAATGATCAACTCAGTTGAATTCAATTGGCTTTTTTCAATTCAAGTGAGTTGATCAAGTCAGTTGAATGGCATGGTTTACACGTTCAATTCGCGTTCAAGTCAGTTGAATTCAACTGACTTGATCCATTGGCTTGCCCTGTCTAAACCCAGCTTAACGGTTAAACGTTCTTATGCTGTTAGGATGGGATACGTTGTAGGACCAGTGATGGCATAATTATTAGCAAATTTATATTTTTCCGTCCTCATACGAGCAAAACATCATGCTTGATATTGATTTTACAAGCTCCTTTGATATTGCGAGACTATTCACAATGTGTAAAGTTGAAGCTGAGAGTTGTGCGAACGCACCTCGTTTTCTTAGAAAGAGAAAGTATAATAATGCTATCTCTTTTTCCTCTTCACCGATGGCAGACACAAAGCGACTGCTGCCACCCGTTATGGCAGTTTCGGTTACATTCGGGTGTAAAATAAAAATCACGAAACTCAATCTCACCACAGTTTGGTGAGATTTGTTGTTAGCGTGATATTCCGAGCTGCGATATCACAGCTTGCAATATCCGCAGTTGTTTGCTTGTTGATTGTTGTATTCGAAAATCAAGCGTGGTCGTGTTCTTTGGTGAGATTTAATTTTTCGATTTTTAGGATTATTGTTATTGAAGTAGTCTCCGAGGTTACGTGACTCATTCAGAGCCACAGAGTCTGTCCAGTCAAGAATTATTATGGAGGAAGAAACTAACGGGTATTGAAATCTCGTCATAATTCAATCTTGGATGATTTCAGATGCGATGAACTTCGATATAACCACTTAGCATATCTCTAATCATACCCGTTTCTCATTCCCTTTTTTTCCAGGAAAATCCTCCCGTTCCGAAGACACCGACGACCAGCACGTTACCCGGCGCAAGAAGGCCTCGACGAGCATTTGCTTCAAGGTACCGGCGGCGGGATTGGGAGCCCGCCCGCCGAGCATCATCAGCAGCAGTACCACCATCGATGAGGGTGGCTTCAACGAACCATCGCCGGACATTCGAGCCAAACTCAAGCCGGCCTACGACTTCGATATCGTAGCACCGGAACTGCCGGCTTCTCCTCCGAGGCGATCTGCCAATGTTGCCACCGCCGCCGCCACCCGGGACAGTGATGTGGTCTTGGAACCGCTGGTATCGGAGGAAGAACCCCAGCTCAGCTACGCCGTTCTGGGCTACCGATTACGTCCGGATGGGACCGAGTGCGACGAAATCTACGGCGAAGTAGATCGCTATCAAAGTGCCAACAGCAGCAGTATTATCACCAACATCAACAATAATAATCAACCGTTGGACTTAGGCCACGGAACAAGTAGTGTAGAGAGTAGGAACGCTATTAACAATATACGATCTCATTACAACACTAACAACAACCAACTGCCGGAAACGATCGTCAGTAATGGTGGTAGCAAAATAGACGGAGACGACTTGCCAATGGCGGAGATGGATTGTGTGCTGTACGCATCGATCGTACCGAAAGCGACCGGGGACTCGTCCTCGACCATCGCCAGCAGCGAGCTGGCCTTTATAGACTTGGAAAAAGATGAGGCTAAAATCCTGGACTGCGACGAATTGAGCGAAGGCGAGAAAGGCTACCACAGTCCGCAGACGATTCTGGATCCGACGAGACCCACCTTGACCGAGTACGAGGACGACTACAGTAACAAAACACTGCCGGATCCACCGTCGTTGGCTTCGATGCGACCGCCGCCGATTCCGGAGGGGCCACCGCTTGACCTGCAGGACGTACAGTATGCCGATGCCAGCGACAACGAGCACGACAGCCTGGTGCTGCCGGATGAGATGACGGCGGACGAAGCCGAGCGGTTGCTCAGTTCAAGGTATGTGTTCTGTCTGAGGAATGTTTCCCATTCTTTGCCGCCTTCCTAGAGTTCCTTTAGACTTGCGCGTCATGTTGAGTATGCAGCGGCATTTGTTTCACTGCCCACCTTTTTTTTTGTTTGTTTGTTGCTGTTAGAGCAAATATGTGTTTAGTTTCGTTTCGGTTAAATGAGTGCGTTCGGGAGTGTGGTGGGACAGCAACGATGATGGGAAGAATGTCGGTTCGTGTACACATGTTTTACTAAACATGATCGGTATGTGACTAGTGCACTACCAGTGTGGAGTCGAATGCTGATAAATTTCGGCGTAGAATTTGATTTTACAAAGATCCCCCAAAAGGCGTTGCGATGTTGACCCCCTGAATGTTTCTAAAAATACACAGAGGTGGCGATAGGTGCTACAGCATAGATTTACAACAGTTGGCAGAGCAGGCTTAGAAGTATGTGAGGAATTTTCGCTGATCGGGATGGCAAGGTTCTTGAATATTCTACAATCGTACAAATCGTAGTTTTAGCGTAGAGTCCCTAAATCGAACATTGAATTTTTAACCTAAAATACTGCATATATTTTTCTGAGCTTGAAACTTAACAAAACTCGGAGACCTCATACAACTAGTGACCCAGTTATAGCGAAAATAACTAATGCAGACGACGACGGTGGCGACCGGCCATGACTGCTGATGCTACGAAGCCAATTTGTGTATGTGCACTCTTCCTTTCACGTGCGGATCTAAATCTACACAGATGTTTATTAGCAGAGCTACGCTTTCCTCATCCCGTCCGACAGAGCCGACACTCGACACGACCTAAATTCCAAAGGATTTTAACATCTAGTATTATCCCAAATAAGTCGAGTACACAAATCTTATTCAGACACGTCGGTCACAACATAAATTTACAAATAGACTCTTGCTGCTCGATTGATTCCAGAAGCTGTAAACAGCTTGTTTTCCCAACCTTGTTCTACTATTTTCGATTCCGGTATGAAATCGTAAGGTGTTGAATATTTCACTGGTCAAACAATTATCGATTCAGTTCATAAAAGCAAGCTTTTGCCCACCTACCTAATTGGGATACCCGCGAAAATAAACACCCAAGTCGATGTAAAAGGAAAACCTTGGAACAACAAAATTATATGATAAATCACGCAACTGACCGGAAGCGCAAACGGAAGGAAAGCAGGGAAAAATTACAGCTCACTCCATTCGTTCGTGCCATAAATTCCGGGTGCATCGTAAATCAGAGCTACACGAAAGTGGGTCGAAAATTGCAAAGATGCTCCGGGATCTACCTATCATCGTTCCTGGCGTGCCACACTCCTAATGGCTCATTCAGCTGTAATCGATTAGTTCGAATATTACCAGTGATAACCATATTAGCGTAGATAAGTTATTGGCAACGAAAAAGGCTACATGTTACTGTTAATTAATGTTATGCTATTACTCTACATTCTAATCACTCTTATATCACACTTGTATCGTTTCCGGAATGTGCCTCCTAAACTTGGCTGCTCCCTTGTGTACTGCGCTGCCGCCACGCCTATCAATCTTATGTTTCGGATACTTTGCATGTGTTATTATTCTTCAAACTTACTACCTGTGCTATCCAACCACGATCATCACACTCTGTTATCATCATCTTATCTACCATCACATCACGATGACACAACCATGCGCGCTTGCTGCAATTTAAATGCGATACAACATCGCACATTCACACACACACAATCATACACATTCACATTCATAATTGAACCAACCAACCCATGTATGCCGATTGTTCAACTGTATGATACTCATTTGTTGTTTGATGTTCCTGTTCGACCTATGTGTGTAGTATTTTGGAGTACAAAATCAGGTAATTTCTTATGACGTTTTTTAGTTTTTTTTATTTTTTTGTTTTTCATCCATTTTATCAAGGGCAGTCAAATATTTTCTTTTCTGGAGAAGTAAGGCGAAGACAATGTATCCAGAAGACCGGTAGTTGCTCCGTCAAAATCCGAGGGACGAATACAGTAACGCTGCAATCGAGCAAAGTTTGAACCATTGCGCGTTAGATGGCAAGAGTGTATCTGTCTCTTAGCGTGTGTGTGTGTAAGAAAGACTGAGAGTGGCCAGTCTTCTTGATATGTTGTCTTCGGCTTATATTCGTTTTCATCTATATTTTATAATCTTCTTCTTTTTCCTACTCTAAATTTGGTGTTATATTTTATCATTTATACCGTTGCATGAAATTGTCTCGATGAATTTGAGAAAATTTCCAAATTGTATAACTACCCATAAAAGCACATCTTTGCTTGATTTCCTATTTAAATGGGACTGTTACGCTGTTATGGGTAGTATAGATCATTCAATTAAATAGAAATAGCCATGTCTTAATAGCAAATTCATTTCATGTCTAGTAATGTGAAACTAATAAGGAATGCATTTTAATATTACCACTCATAGGCAATTTTCCTTATACTTGTAGCATCTATTAAAAAACCGTTCCATAGTTTGCAGATCGTTAGACTTATCTAGTTAGGAAGCATCCATTTAAGTACGTTACGCAAACTTGCAACAGATTTCTAAACCCTTCCCCTCTCCTCTTAAAGCGGACCTACTTGGTGGATCACCTCTTATGTGTACCTATATTTCCTAATTGCGCTTGAGAAACCCTGTTGCATTTTTCCGCATACATATACAACCCAAGGTACTAAATTCTTATTCGTTTCACCATCCTTATAGGGCTGAAATGATTGCGAAAGATTCTTCGCACAAGTAAGTAAAAGTTTGAACAAAATAAAAATTACGCTTTAGTTTTAATAACAGTAGCTATTTTCATGATTCAAGTCTTCAAATACTTGTTACATATGATACCTGTTGAAGATCGAAGTAATCAGGAGTCACTATACTCTAGTAACCTGTTTGTTTGAAGATATCAACAAGTGCAAACATTGTTCATTCGTTATCAAACTCTCGTCATGTACAGATTTAAAATATAGTTCTTTCTTAATTCAAACCACTGTTATAAATTCAAGAGAATTTGAAGTTTGGAGTCGAGAAACTCCTGAAGTCGACGGGATTGCTGGATACGGTAAAGAAAGACGAACCAACCGGGCTGAAGCAGCGATGTTTCAAGAGTTGGATGGAAAGGCAACGAATGTGATCATCTCCTTAAAACAACCGTCAAGGAAATTTGGAACATTATGGAAGGAATCTGCGCCAAAAAGTTGGTTTCGTCGCAAACGCTTATTCCTAAGCAACTCGCAAAGCTGAGAATGGTCGAAGATACATCAATCAAGGACCATTTGAAGACTTTCGACAAGATTATTCGGAAACTGAAGTCAGCTGGAGCAAAACTAGAAGAAAGTGATCTGATTTCGACATGAACGGAGTCTTCAGTCAGCTGCCCAAGAACATTCACATCTTTGTGTACGCGGACGACGTTCTCATTGTGGTCACAGGGCCCACTACAATTAGGACTAAAAAACTAACCCAAGCTGCAGTTACAGCGGTAGCAAAATGGGCCGAGACAGCAGGGTTTCAGCTTGCGGCGAGGAAGAGTATCAGGTGCCATGTATGCCCATCGCGGCACAGAGTCAGCGGAACCCCTATCAGGATCGCCGATCAAGCCATCCCCGTGAAAAATTCCGTCCGGGTCTTGGGTGTTCTCATTGACCGCACACTATCGTTCGTCCCTCACTTCCACGAGGTTAAACGGAACTGCCGCAGCCGAATTAACTTGCTTAAAACAATCTCCAAGCACCACCGATCCAAAAATCGAGCGGTTCGCTATCGTCGACAGCCGCCTGTTCTACGGAACCGAGCTAACGTGTCTCGGGAAACAAAACGAAATCCTCGGCCCAACGTATAACAACAGCATCCGGATTATCTCAGGTCTCCTGCCTTCCATTCCTGCCGATTCGGCCTGCTTGGAAGCGGGGATCCTGCCAACCATCATCAAAGCCGCATCATTTGTCGCGAAAACATCTGGAAATGGCTGGATCTTCCTCCTCGACGAGGGGAACAGAATCCTGCGCACGATCGCCAACATCGACCTCCCCCCGGTGGCTAGGACCCACTGGCACGGAGAGAGGAGTTGGCTCTCTTCCGACACCAATATAGACAGCAGGATTAAGAGCCGGTTCAGGGCAGGAGACAACTCACAGGCCTTGCGTCGGTCTGTAGCAGAACTCCTTAGTTCACGATATGCCGAATTCTCACACCGGTACACTGACGATTCCCGATCCAACTCAGGCGTTGGCATCGAAGTATCCGGAAGTGGCTTACTTGCAAGCAATAGTCTTCCGCCGCAATGCTCTGTCTTTTCCTCATCCTGACGGATTCCCACAGCGCCATACAGGAACTCCGTTCAGCAGCTCCATCACATCCGTGGATCCAGGCCACTTTGACGTCCGCCCCGAGCAGCACTGTATATACGGTGATAACTGCACACTGTGGGATACCAGGCAACGAGGCAGCAGATCACCTCGCTGGACCATCTGGTCCCTGGTTAACTGACAAGGTGCCGTTGCAGGACATCAAGCGATGGATCAAATCCACAACTCGAAAGGCATGGATCGAACAGTGGTTCGGCACCAGGGGACCTTTTATCCGGAAGATTAAAGGAAGCACGGAGGCATGGACGGACCTCCGGAATCAACCGGATAAAAAAGTGTTATTCAGGCTCCGAACCGGACACAGTAGACTAAGCCACAATTTCGGCGGAGGACCCTTCAAGAAAAGCTGCGTGATTTGTGGAGTTCCAGCGACCGTCGAGCACATCCTCTGCGTCTGCCCAGAGTTCCACAGCCTCAGGAAGGCCTACGGGATTACCTCCAGCATCCGCTGCTGACGCCCTCTTGGTTTTCCTTAGGGAAGCCAAGCTATACCATTGTGTTTAGTTAGGTTCTTTTGTCATTTTCTGTTTGTGAGTTTTTTCCGGCTGTCGGGACGGTTCCGCACGGGATGAGCCTTTGGACCTCGTGACGGTGCCGTCTTGTTCAGATTTGTCACTCCTTATGAAGAGCCAGGAAGGCTGTATTCTACAGCCTTAGCAGGCGGTGGGGCGCCATTTGGGATAAGCCGTCGGCCCTCATGACGGTGTCCACCCGCAGAAACAGCAATCAATCCAACAAAAGGTTCGTAGATGTTAAGCAAAACACTCTGTTCATACAAAAACTCTGTTTTGAGATTCTCCTTCTGAGACCTCCTTTTGACAAAGAGATGAACTAGCCTTCGGCTAAAAATCTCTAAAATAAAGTTTAAAAAAATCTGATTTCGAAGGTGTTGGTAAGTCACAGCGTTGGAGAACCTTGATGCCGTTCGAGAGAGATTGTTGGCAGAAGAAGCGTTTGTTGGAATCAAACTGAACCCATGGCAGTTCACAGGTAAATGCAATCGGTGTCACAAGAAATGACATATGGCTAAGGACTGCAGAAGCAAGATTCATGCGGAAGCGAATGCAGCAAGTGGAGGAAAGGTTGTTGTTACCTTCAAGCTGGACTCAGGAGCTTGTGACCACCTGGTAAACCAAAAGGGATATTTCGAATCCCTTGAAAGGATGAAGAATCCCGTCATTATATGTGTTGCAAAAGATGACCAGTCCATAACAGCTAGGCACAAAGGAAAAATCGTTGGAGTCAACAGTCTCGGGGTTCAGTGTTCCGTAGACAACGTTCTCTATGCACCAGATTTGCGAGCGAACCTTCTATCGGTGAAAAAGCTGACTAGAGCATGTGTCAAGGAGTCGTTTGGAGAAAAATCGGCTGAGATGAACCACAATGGTGTAGGTATGTGTCCTCTGAAAGACGATTTCTACGAGCTAGACGTTTACCTGGATCATGCAACTGCAAATCTGTGCATAAGTAGCTGGAAATACTGATTTGTGATGGCAAATGGTATCAGGTATGACCAGGCATGGAAAATCATTTGCATTCATTTACATTCATTTGCCTCTAACTTTTTTCTTGAACAGCATTCCGCAAATTGATGTATAAAGCTTTTGTAGGTTTTGTTATTAGATACAACTTTTGTTAACAAGTCAAATTCGTATCTCTTATGCACGACGAACCAGAGCGAACAGAAGCCTATACTATTTTTCAGTGAATATATTTTACATTCACTGAAAAACAGTAACAAGTTCTGCCCGATCTAGTTCGTGATGCATAAGAGATACAGATTTTAATTATAAGCAAAAGTTGTAACTGAAAACAAAACCTACAAAAGCTCTATACATCATTTTGCGGAATGCTGTTGATGAAAAAAGTTAGAGGCAAATGAATGTAAATGAATGCAAATGATTTTCCATGCCTGGGTATGACCGTGTAACAAGTAATTTTCACAATGAAAAAGAAGTCCGAGGTATTCGAGAAGTTTCGAAACTATGAAGCGATGGTTTCAGCTGCAACGGGTCACCGAATCTCGAAGCTTACCTTGGATCAGGGCAGAGAATACTGCTCAAAGGACCAGGCACGATTCTATTCCTAGAAGGGTACCCAGATAGAACCAACTGTTCCATACACTCCCCAGCAGAATGGATTCTCCGAGAGATTCAATCGGACGTTAATCATGAAATCAAGGCACCGAAACGCACTAGCTGGGGTCTATCTCATGAAAAGAAGTCCGACCAATGCTGTTTCGGAAAGCAAAACTCCTATCGAGATATGGAAGAATCAACAGCCTGATAGGACGAAGCTCAAAGTGTTGGGTTTCATGGCATACGCATGGGTTCCCACTCAGCAGCGGAAAAAGCTAGATTCGAAGAGCCAGTTGACAGCAATGGTCGGCTACGCACCAAATGAGTACAGGGTGTGGTCGCGTTAATTTTGACGAAGACAATTATCCGTTTATGTCCACGATGAACGTAGAGCCCGAGCCCACCTTGTTTGTGATTCCTTACGATTTCGCAGAAGAAGCGGATTCTGGTGTTGCAGCAAATCTACCAGGCACTAGAAGATTCGAGCAAGAGGGGGGAAGATGTCGAATCAGATGGTCAAGAGGATGTCTAACCAGATACTGCTTCCAACACACCGGCCGCGCTCCCTTCGCATCTAGATACTGCTCATAACCTTGACACGGCGACCACGAGGCACCACGAACGGGAGATACAAAAGGTTGTAGTTGGAGGATTAATTTCGGCGTACCCCTGCAGACCACAAGAAGATGACACTTAGTGAAGCTTGAAATACTGCGCTCCCTTCGCGCTTTGAACGTAGATCAAGTTCCGTTGAAACTTCTACGAGGTCTTGCCAACGGGGGCGCCCGTTCTGCGGTAAGTCAAATACGATGTTAACTGGAACGGAAACGGTTTCTGCTGCCCAATCTCCCTGTGCTCTAGATGTATCTACGTTCGGTCGAGCTGGTTGAAAGCTGTAAACGATGAACTGAATTCCTTGCACTCCAATAACGTTTGGCGACTTGTGAAGCGTCCTGAGGGAATCAAGCCGTTGCAATCGAAATGGGTATTTCGAGTCAAAGAGGACGAATTTGGCAACCCTATCCGCTACAAAGCTAGCTAAAGGTTGCTAAAGGATTCCAACAGAAGGCTTGCGTGGACTATGCTTTAACGAATGCTCTGTTCAGAAGAAGTTTCACGTCCAACAAATCGGATGTCAAAACTGTTTTCCTATATGGTGTTCTAAGAGAAAATGTGTTTATGGCAGTTCCAAAAGGAGTAGAAGCTCCAAGCAATATAGTGTGCAAACTAGCGAAATCGTTATATGGTCTTAAGCAAAGTCCTCGATGTTGGAACGAGAAGTTGAACTGTATGTTGCTGA